TACACCCTCTATCCTACCTCAGTGAGAGAGAAAAATGGGACACTGAGAATGGCGCCAAGCAGAGTCAGCTGCAGGATCTGGAAGGGGAATTTGGAAAGCCCCAGGCAAGGTGGAAAGCTACTTTATAACACATGGGTGTGGAGGACGACTCAGCAAGGGACTTTCCACTTCTCCTTAAGGAGGAGCCAACTCCCAGATATTCACGGAAATGCTCCAAGCCACAGAACGCCACGGCACATGGAACTTCTGATCAGGTCACTTTGGCCCGCAGTGGCTTTTCGGAATTAACTACAGCTGAAAGGACAGGTTGATGTTTCTAATTCTGGGTAATAAGAAGGGTCTTTTCCCCTCTCTCCCTCAAGGAAAACACCCCCAACAAAACTTACATCACAGTTGGCTCGGCCCCCATTTCCACATCTCTGCTCCCTCAGGGTCTGCAAGGAAAGAAAAGGCCAGGTGTCCCATGAGGCTCTCCCCAGCTCTCTCCCTCAGCCACAGGCCCTGTATGAAGGAAGCTCCTCCCACATACCAAGTGTTTGAATTCTGCAGAGAGGCTCCCGTTGTTGGACTCTTCCATGTTCATCACTTTGGTGTTTGTGCCCAGAATGTTAAATTTCCGGGATCTGAATCGCAGGAGAACAGTCAGCCATGTAGGTGACCAAGTATAAAGTCAGGATAAAGCTAAGTTAAATGGAACAAAAGGAAGCCTCTAGGCGGAACTTACCCTCTGAGAGCTGCCACATCCCCAGAGTCTCTGTAAGAACACAGACCATTGTCAGTAAAACAGGGTCCACGTTTCTTCAAAAAGCCTACTTTGACCACCTGTTATTTACTCTCCCGAAAAAAACCTCTGTGCTCCTGGCATTTCTATAAACTATTTAGTTACAGTTTATCAGTGCATCATAACACCTGTGCGTAGTAGGCAGCGTTGGTTGCCTCCCCATAGGAAGGGGAACCTGTGTTTCACATTGCATATGTACTTATTAAACCTCCCACCTTTGTCAACTCCCTTATTTCATTATTTTCCAGTTCATTGTCATGAAATTTCCAGATAATTATATCAACTAAGTATGCATTTTCTCTTTTCTAATATATTCAAAGGGTATGTGTATCTTACATCCTGAAAGGCATTATGAAATTTTGAGTATTCCATTATATGGTAAAGTGTGGAACAATTAAAAAAAAAAAAAAAAAAAGGCTGGGCACGGTGGCTCATGCCTGTAATCCCAGCACTTTGGGAGGCCTTGGCCTCCCGAGTTCAGGGGATCGAGGTGGATCACAAGGTCAGGGGATCAAGACCATCCTGGCCAACATGGTGAAACCCCGTCTCTACTAAAATACGAAAAAAAAAAAAAAAAAAAATTAACTGGGAGTGGTAGCGTGCACCTGTAGTCCCAGCTACTCGGAAGGCTGAGGCAGGGGAATCGTCGTTTGAACCCAGAGGCAAAGGTTGCAGTGAGCCGAGATCGTGACACTGCACTCCAGCCTGGCGACACAGCAAGATTCCGTCTCAAAAAAAAAAAAATCTATTCTTTGCACACGCTATGTATGGAAAGAATATATAAAGACATTTCAGTCAACGACCAACTGCATATATGACAGTGGTCCCATATGATGATAATGGGGCTGAAAAATTCCTACTGCATTGTGATGTGTGTTACGACTGCCTACAGTATTCAGCATGGTAACATACTGTACAGCTTTGCAGCCTACAACCAGCAGGCCCTACCACATAGTGCAGGTGTGCAATAGGCTCTGCCACCCAGGTTTGTATAAGGACTATCTACTCTACAATGTTTGCACAACAAAATTGCCTAATGATACATTTTGCAGAATGTATCTCAGTCATTAATTAACACATGATCTTATATAGAAAATGCATGAATTACACGTACAAGTAAAACGCTAAACAACAGCAACTACAAATCACATCTATACCCTCGGGTTTGTGGCTTTGTTCTGGCGTGTAAATGACAATGCCAAGGCTTTTGTAAACTTTTGTCCACAAAAAAGATCTCTGAATAAAGATAGAGTCTCGAGTTCAAATGATGCCTGTCAAAGTTCTCATTTTTCTGTTCCTCATTTGAAAAAAAGAACTAAGATAGGAGTACTTACTTGTCAATGCACACTTTAATTTTAAGCTGGTAATTCAACTCAGGGAATTTGACCAGCAACCTATTTAAAAAGAAATTATCCAATGAAAAAAAAAGTCAGTAGACTCTCCCATAACCTTTTGTTGAAGAAATGTAAAATTCATAATTCTTCATTTCTCAAAGGTAATAGGCCAAGCTGTCTGTAATTATAGGCTCACATCTATAATCTCAGCACTGTGGGAGGCCAAGCTGGGAGGATCACTTGAGCCCAGGAGTCCCATAACAGCCTAGGCAACAAAGCGAGAGCCTGCCTTTATAAAAAATTTAAAAATTAGTGGGGTGTGGCAGCATGAACCTATAGTCCCAGATACTCAGAAGGCTGAGGCAAGAGGATCACTTGTGGCCAGGGGTTCAAGGCTGCAGTGAGACATGATCATGCCACTGCACTCCAGCCTGGGTGAAAGAGAGATCCTATCTCTCTCTTTAAAAAAAGTTAAAATAGGCCAGGCGTGGTGGCTCACACCTGTAATCCCAGCACTTCGGGAGGCCAGGGCAGGCAAATCACCTGAGGTCAGGAGTTCACGATCAGCCTGACCAACATGGCTAAGACCCGTCTCTACTAAAAATACAAAAATTAGCCGGGCATGGTGGAGTATGCCAGTCCAGCTACTCAGAGAGGCTGAGGCAGGAGAATCGCTTGAACCCAGGAGGTGGACTCAGCAGTGAGCCAAGATTGCGCCACTACACTCCAGCCTGGGTGGCAGAGAGAGACTCCATCTCAAAAAAAATAATAAAATAAAATAAAGGCCAGGCATGGTGGCTTATGCCTGTAATCCCAAGACTTTGGGAGGCCAAGGTGGGTGGATCACCTGATGTCAGGAGTTCAAGACCAGCCTGACCAACATGGAGAAACCCCATCTCTACTAAAAATACAAAATTAGCTGGGCATGGTAGCACATGCCTATAATGCCAGCTATTTGGGAGGCTGAGGCAGGAGAATCGCTTGAACTCAGGAGACAGAGATTGCAGTGAGCTGAGATCATGCCATTGCACTCCAGCCTGGGCAACAAGAACGAAACTCCATCTCAAAAAAAAAATTAAAAAAGAGGTGGGCTGGGCAAGGTGGGTGGCTCTCGCCTGTAATCCCAGCACTTTGGAAGGCCAAGGCAGGTGGATCACGAGGTAAGGAGTTCAAGACCAGCCTGGCCAACATGGTGAAACCCCGTCTCTACTGAAAATACAAAAATTAGCTGGGTGTGGTAGCATGTGCCTGTAGTCCCACCTACTCAGGAGGCTGAGGCAATTGAACCCAGGAGGGAGATGTTGCAGTGAGCCAAGATAGTGCCATTGCACTCCAGCCTGGGTGACAGAGTGAGACTCTTGTCTCAAAAGAAAAAAACATTCTTCACTTTCTAAATAAAAAAGTGAAAACAATTCTTCACTTTTTAGTTAAAAAATTAAAAAGAGGTGAATAAATGACAATTCCAAATTCCTCCTCCAGCCAATGCCATCTTGATATTAAGTTGAGTATCAGGCCAGGAGCAGTGGCTCACATCTGTAATCCCAGCACTTAAGGAGGCTGAGGCAGGAGGATCCACTTGAGGCCAGGAGTTCGAGACCAGTCTAGCCAACACAGTGAAACCCCATCTCTAGCAAAAAATAACAAAATTAGCCAGGTGTGGTGGTGTGCACCTGTAGTCCCAGCTACTCAGGAGGCTAAGGCATAAGAATTGCTTGAACCTGGGAGGCAGAGGTTGCAGTGCGCTGTGATCACACCACTGCACTCCAGCCTGTGCGACGCAGTGAGACCCTGTCTCAAACAAAAACAGAAGTTTAGCATCACCCGTTCAAGCCAGAGGTAGTGAGAAAAAGTCTAAGAACAACTTGTATAAAGTTGTGAGAGATTCACAAAAGAATAATCAAAACCATTTAGTGAAAAATATTACGGGAACACATGCTGTACAGCTGGCATTTTCTTCTATTAAACCTGAAACCCAACACCATACTAAATTTCTGACAAGGGAAATTTCACTGCAGAAAGTCAAAACACCAGCACACCTGCTCTGACTTGAGTGTGAAAGTAACACTTCATCCTACAGGCCCACCACCCACCTGCCCTGGGGCCTCTCAGCTTTCCCATCACTAAGCCTTACTCTTTCCCTTAAAATCCACAGGGAAGGGTAGCCTCAAAGAACAGAAAATAGTTGATGTTCTTTTGTCCGTTAGCCAAAAGGAGAAGCTGTGGCCTGACACTCCAGGTCTGCAATCATAGGAATATGCCCAGGTAGCTTCAAAAAGATGACTGTTCTTTTGCTTTTGACATCAGAATCAGAGCACAAGCAGATAGTGTGCCAACAAATTTCATCCCTGCAACAGTGTACCTGTCTGTGACACCACACCTGGAAAGATGACCCAGCCACCAACTCTTGCCCTCGCCCTAAACAGTGTCCCTCACTAAAATCTCTACCAGAAACGGAAGTGGTGTGGCCCACCTGACTTTAGTAGTGAACTGGACACCGGTCTTGATGACAAGTGGCCGGTCAGGATGCATGGGCATGCAGGGCTGCCGCTCCACCACAAAGGCACTGAGGAAAGAGAAGACGGGCTCACATGCCACAGCCACGACCAGAAGTCAGCCCACCCCTCACTTTACCACGTGAGTCTTTTGGTGTTTTTTAGATGAGGGAAAGGGACGAGGATGCTAAGTTACCTTTTCATTAAGTTTCTAAACAGCTCCACGATTCTTTCCTCCAGCATTGGTCGGTGCTGTACAATGGGATCCCCTTTGTAGGAAACTTTTTGCTGCAGCTCCTCCAGTTTCTTAATTTGTTGACGGGTCTGAAGTTGAGATTCTGCTAATGACGTTATCCTGCCAATAAATTAAGAAAGCTGCTAATTACCAAACTGAATGTACATAGGTGAGCTAGAGAAGGGGAAGGAAATACCACAGATATGGAGACCCCTCTACAATAAGGGGAATTTTTTTATTGTGGTGAAATATATATAGCATGAAAGTTACAATTCTTCATCTTAGGTTTATAGTTCAGTGACATTACGAAAAGAGGAATTTTTCACCAAGTAAGGCGGATGCTAAAAAAAAAAAAGAAAAAGAAAATCATTTATAATTTATTTTTTTTAATTTATTATTTTTTGAGGTGGAGTTTTGTTTTGCTCTTGTTGCCTGGGCTGGAGTACAATGGCACGATCTTGGCTCACTGCAATCTCCACCTCCAGATGCAAGCGATTCTCCTGCCTCAGCCTCCTGAGTAGCTGGGATTACAGGTGTGTGCTACCACGTACAGCTAATTTTTTGTATTTTTAGTAGAGATGGGATTTCACCATGTTAGCCAGTCTGGTCTCAAAATTCCTGACCTCAGATGATCCACCCACCTCAGTCTCCCAAAGTGCAAGGCCAAAAAATAATTTATTTTACCTTTTATCACTAGTCCCTTCCTAAAATCTCAAATTTCTAAGAGGGGGCTGGACATACAAAAAGAAGCATTAAACTTCATACCACTAAGAGGAACTGATGGAGTTATCATTGGAAAATGACAAGCATTTGAGCCCAGATCTAGAGAACCTGAAATATGGAATTTAGCACTTACTTTCCTCATCCTAACTTGTCCATGAACGTAAAGACTCTGAAAAAGATTAGACAGCTCACAAAGATGGGTTTCAGCTAGCTCTGTCACATGCTACATGTGCAAGCTTGGCCAGGCCCTTCACCTCATTTTTATTTATTTATTTATTTTTGAGACAGGGCCCACTCTGTGGCCCAGTGCAGTGCAATGGCATGATCACAGCTCACTGCCTCCTCCAACTCCTGGACACAAGTGATCCTCCTACCTCAGCCTCCTGAGTAGCTAGGACTACAGGTGTGTGCCACCATCCCTGTTTTATTTAGTTTAGTTTTTTGATAGGGAGTCTCATCTGTCACTCAGGCTGAAGTGTAATGGTACATGTCTAGTTTTTAAAATTTCTGTAGAGACAGGATCTCACTTTCTTGCCCAGGCTGGTCTTGAACTCCTGAATTTAAGTGATCCTCTTGACTCTGCCTCCCAACGCATTGGGATTTACAGGTGTGAGCCATGACACCCAACCCCCATGAGCCCTTTCAATGTCAGCTTTCAATTGATCAAAGGACATGACATTATGTTTGAAAATATTGATAACATGCATAAGGAATAAGTGAATAGAGAGAGAAAGCTCATTAAGTCTATATCCAGGAATAGAGAATATTAGGCCAGGCTCAGTGGCTCACAACTGTAATCCCGAAATTTGAGAGGCTGAGGCGGTTGGACCGCTTGAGGCCGAGAGTTCAAGACCAGCCTGGCCAACATGGCAAAACCCCATCTCTACTAAAATACAAACAAAATAGCTGGGCATGGTGGCATGGGTCTGTAATCCCAGCTACTTGGAAGGTTGTGGCTGAGAATCGCTTGAACCTGGGACGGGGAGGTTGCAGTGAGCCAAGATTGCATCACTGTACTCTAACCTGGGTGATAGAGTGAGACTCTGTCTCAAAAAAAAAAAAAAAAGAGAGAATTTTAGTGTCATTCCATCATTCTTTGATGGTTTATCACTAGTAATAAAGACCAAAAGACCAAAAAGACAGAAAGTAAAAGGAGAGGGAGGAGGACCACTGCAGGGATTTCTGAACATTTTTCTGGCACTTCTATCCTCCCATTCCCAGAAGTTAAGCTTCTTCATTCCCTGATCAGGAAGCATTTTAAACTGCTTTCAGTAAATTAACAACACTTGGGGTTAGTGAGGATATGAATAGATAGGGAATAGATAGGCATTCTCATGTAGAGGTGCCCTAAGTTTCCAGTTCAGGTTCTCCGTATCTGTCAAGTTTCTCCTAGGGCAAGCTGGTGCAACATACTCACTATAGGGCCTCACACATGAAGGGTGTGCAGTAAGATTTGCTGGATGAAGGTAAAAGTGCAAATTACAGAAAAGCATACAAAGAAACATCCTTGGCTGGGCACGGCAGCTCACATCTGTAATCCCAGCACTTTTGACAGGCTGAAGTGGGATGATCCCTTGAGCCCAGGAGTTTGAGACCAGCCTGGACAACAAAGTAAGACCTTGTCTCTACAAAAAAATGTAAAAATTAGCTAGGTATCATGGTGCATGCATGTAGTCCCAACTAGTACTCAGGAGGCTGAGGTGGGAGGATTGCTTGGGCCTGGGAAATGGAGGCTCCAGTGAGCCATGATTTCATTACTGTACTCTAGCCTGGGCAACACAGTGAGACCCTGACTCAAAAAAAAAATCCTGCTAATATAAACCATATAAATTTCTATCTTTATGTGTACATAATGACAGATGTCTAGAGTGAGCATCAACCAAAATTTTAACTACTGGTACTGCTGATGATTTGATTTTAAGTTTTTTTTTTTTTTTTTTTTTTGAGAGGGAGTTTCACTCATGTTAGAGTTTAAGTTTTTTTTTTTCTTCTCTAGGCCAGGCGTGATGGCTCTTGCCTGTCATCCCAGCACTTTGGGAGGCCGAGGCAGACGGATCGCCTGAGGTCAGGAGCTCAAAACCATCCTGGCTAACACCGTGAAACCCCATCTCTACTAAAAATAGAAAAAATTAGGGCCGGGCGCGGTGGCTCAAGCCTGTAATCCCAGCACTGTGGGAGGCCGAGGCGGGTGGATCACGAGGTCAAGAGATCGAGACCATTCTGGTCAACACGGTGAAACCCCGTCTCTACTAAAAATACAAAAAATTAGCTGGGCATGGTGACGCGTGCCTGTAATCCCAGCTACTCAGGAGGCTGAGGCAGAATTGCCTGAACCCAGGAGGTGGAGGTTGCGGTGAGCCGAGATCGCGCCATTGCACTCCAGCCTGGGTAACAAGAGCGAAACTCCGTCCCCCCCAAAAAAAAAAAAAATTAATCGGGCATGGTAGCATGTGCCTGTAACAATCTCAGCTACTCAGGAGGCTGAGGCAGAAGAATCACTTGAACCTGGGAGGCGGAGGTTACAGTGAGCCGAGATTGCACCACTGCACTCAAGCCTGGGCGACAGAGCGAGACTCAGTCTCAAAAAAATAAAATAAAATTTTAAAAAATTTGCGTGGTGGCACACGCCTGTAATCCCAGCTACTTGGGAGGCAGACACAGGAGAACTGCTTGATCCCGGGAGGCAGAGGTTGCAGCAAGATGAGATCGTGCCATTGCACTCAAGCCTGGGCAATAGAGACTCTGTCTCAAAAAAAAAGAAAATTTTTTTTCTTCTCTTGATTTTCTGTATTTGAATTTTTTCCCTTAAGAAGGGCATGTGTTAGGCCGGGCGCGGTGGCTCAAGCCAGCACTTTGGGAGGCCAGGCGGGTGGATCACGAGGTCAAGAGATCGAGACCTTGATCTGGTCAACACGGTGAAACCCCGTCTCTACTAAAAATACAAAAAAAAAAATTAGCTGGGCATGGTGGCGCGTGCCTGTAATCCCAGCTACTCAGGAGGCTGAGGCAGGAGAATTGCCTGAACCCAGGAGGCGGAAGTTGCGGTGAGCCGAGATCGCGCCATTGCACTCCAGCCTGGGTAACAAGAGCAAAACTCCGTCCCAAAAAA